CAGACATCCTCATCATTATCATTGCAGCCCATAAGGGTCAATTTGACAGCTCCGGATACAAGGTAATGGACCTTAACCTCTGTGTACATAAGGCTGATCTTCCGGTGCTTCGTCAGAGTGTGTGTTGGCGGGTGTGTGGTTTCAACTTTTATTTTTTTCACTATGTTGGTTGGTGTGGATGTTATGATTGCTTGTCAATGATGATGATGGTGATAGTGATCCTCCTCCTCCTCATCACCACCATTATCAACATCACTATCATCATCACCACCATCATCATCATCATCATCACCATCATCATTATCATCATCATCACCATTATCACCATCATCACCATCATCATCATCATCATCATCATAGTGATAATGATAATACTGATGATAATATAAACAACAATAATTAAGAGGGTAAAAAGTAGTAATAATAACATCAACTACGTAACAATAATCATAGTCATTTATAAGGAATTTTGCTTTGTGCAAGAATTAAAAAACAAAAGATCCTTAAACATACACAACGGGTTTCGTCAATGCAACAATGCAGGCGGAATCCACTTAATACTACTACTACTACTACTACTACTACTACTACTACTACCACTACTACGACTAATACACTACCACTACTGCTACTACAATTATTATTACTACCACTATTATGTTATTGCTAGTACCATTAGACTACCACTACTACTATTAGTGCTATTAATAATATCACTTCTACTATTACTACTATCAATAATATTACATCTATTATTACTACTATCAATAATATTACTTCTACTATTACTATTACCAATAATATCACTTCTACTATTACAACTACCAATAATATCACTTCTACTATTACTACTACCAATAATATTACTTCTACTATTACTACCATCAATATAAATTCTATAATATAATAATATTACTTCTGCTATTACTACCATCAATAATATCACTATTACTATTAGTACTGCCAATAATATTACATCTATTATTCCTGCTATCAATAATATCACTTCTACTATTACTTCTGCTATTACTACTATCAATAATATTACTTCTGCTATTACTACTATCAACGACATCACTTCTACTATTACTACTATCAATAATATTACTTACTTACTATCTACTATTACTACTATCAATAATATTACTTCTACTATTACTACTATCAATAATATTACTTCTACTATTACTACTATCAATAATATTACTTCTACTATTACTACTATCAATAATTTATTCTACCTTTACTTACTATCAATAATAATACTCCTACTAGTACTCCTATCAATAACATCACTTTACTATTACTACTATCAAATTTAATATTACTTCTACTATTTACTGCTATCAGTATCATTCTACTATTACTATTATCAACAATATTACTTCTATTACTCTACATATCAATATATCACTTCTTACTATACTACTATCAATAATATTACTTCTGCTATTACTACTATCACTAATACTCCTACTATAACTGCTATCAATAATACTATTTCTGCTATTACTACTATCAATAATACTCCTACTGTAACTGCTATCAATAATGTCACTTCTACTATTACTACCACCAATAATACTCCTGCTACTACTACTACCAACAATAATATAACTTCTA